TCCAGGATCCCACAACCTCCTGCAAATATCCAACTCCACACATGCACAAGTCCCCATGGGAAATGGCTCATTTGCATACAATCTACACACTTCCTCCCACATACTTGAAATCATCTCTAGACTATTTATACCACCAAACACAGATAGACGCTACACAGCAGTTGTCATGCTGTGTTCTACAAGGCTGGCATAAGACATCTATATCTGTTCAGTACCGACACCATTTTTTAAAAACTCCATTTGATCTACAGTTGGTCACAAACACAGAAGCAGACCCCATGGACACAGAGGGTCAGCTGCACTGCTTTCTGCTTAATATTTTTATCTGTTTGGGGGCCTGGCAGTGATTTCATTACCGGTAGTTGGGTAACTATAGACACCCCCTTCCCGTCTGTGAGTAGATGCTTCACTTTCTAGGTGTCTTGCGTGCATAAAGGCTTATCACCCTGGCATAGCTCTTAGAGCATGTGGACAATTTGTACAGAACCCATTTTCCTATCTAATCACTTCTCAGCCTTTTGGCCAAGATAAACTAAAGTTGTATAGACATTTTCCTGTATGACGTTCAGTAAGTTCGTTGTCGTCGCCCAACAACTCCACCCAAAAATCAGTGACTGAAAACAAAAATTCTTCTCACTTATGAGCTTAGGTCAGCATATGCAGGTTTAGCTCACCTAAGACCGGCTGGGTTCTGGGGCTAGGGGATGGCTGTGTTTGACTGGAGGAGTGTCACTGGGGATCTGTGCTCCCACACAAACACATACACACATACACACACAACAGACATATATATATATATATATAATATAATATATTTTATATATATATATATATATATATATATATATATATATATATATATATAGAGAGAGAGAGAGAGAGAGAGAGAGAGAGAGAGAGGAGTGCTCTCCTGGCTCAGCAGGCCAACCAAGACCTTGAATCTTTCATAAGCACGGGATTAGTTCTATATAGATTTCCTGCAGAAGTACACAATGACTAGGACACACAGGCATTGTTTAGAATGCAGAAGAACTTAGACACTAATTCTTTTGGTCTTGGTCTTTGAAGCTCATTGAAACTTACAGACAAGAAGAAAATCATGCTAAAACTATTCTGCATTTTTAGTCCATATTGCTTTTAGATTTATTTAATGAGAGAGAGGACGTGTGGAGGTCAGAGGACAACTCGTGGGCGTCATTTCTCTCTTCCCACCATGTGGTCCTGGGGAATCAAACTGGGGTCGTCAGGTGTGGCAGCAAGTGTCTACTTACAGAGCCGTCTCGCTGGCATGTATTCTGTCAACTTTAAAGGAGTCTTTTTAATTCACAAGGTTCCAATGGGAATCACCTATAAGGCAGGATAACTATTTAGAGTCAGTACTCAGACCTGAGTAAATTCTGTTCCTCCCCTCTCTGCCCCCTGCAAAAGTGAAAGTAAAGCAGGCCAGTTGTTTCCAAGCTGAGCCCACCAGGTCGTTCTGCTTCTGTGTGCCCTCTTCTCCTGAGTCTCTGCCCCGTCTCTTGGGCCACCTGTCCCCACAAGCTTAGAAGCAATCCTTTCTCTCAGCAGCAAATACCAGAAGCTTTAAAAAAAAAAAAAAGTGGTAAAAGGAAGCTGTTATTGCCTGAATGCCGCTGGCAAAAGATTGCAAGAGACGAGGCCAGCAACCGGTGACCATGGTGACGCTGTGTAATCAGCAAACCCAGGCCCTTGCCTTCCTTCCTTCTCTGGGCATCCATAAAATGGTTGGTCTAGAAACCCCAAGCTCACAGACTGTTTTCCAGCAACATAGCAACCAGATCCACACACGGCAAACCCGGCAGTCAAAAACTACCCATGCCCTGATTATCAAAACCAGAGTTATGACAGCAGGCACACCAGGCTTCCTTCCTTAGCAGGAGGGCACGTTGGCCATCCGAGCTACCGTCTCCATTAAATCCACAACGCCATGTGAAATACATCAACACTTCACACACACACACACACACACACACACACACACACACACACACACACACTGCTGAGCCACCACAAAAGGAAGAAAATCTACAAAGGACAAAATAAAGTGGCAGCAAGAACCCTGGGAAGCAGGCGGTGTCAAAGCCACCCCCTGCCCTGAGTTTCTGTTGACAGTTCCATGGCTTGGGGTTTGTGACATCAAGCCTAAAACCCTACTAAAATAGCCTGTTAGGATGCCTCACCCAAATCTGCCCCATCCTGGGAGCTACATTCTCAAGGTAAGAAATAAACCCCACTGTGCAAAACAGAGCAAGGAAACACCTGCATTTGGATTTGATTGTGGGTGTGAAGGAATCTTCCCTGAGCACTCAACCACAAGGCAGCCCTCCAGGGACTCTGCTGTCTGAGTTGACATGGCAGATCTGCCTTGAGATGATCTGCAGAAAGATCAGTAAATCCTCTTGAGGGGAACAAAATTCCAGCTGAGAACTCAAGACTGACTATCCCACAACTTACTAGGAAAATGAGCAACTTTACCTTATTTTCAAATTGTTTTTTTTTTTTTAATCACACAATAGGGCCAGTGCAGGTACCAAGCCTGACGATCTAACCACAGGACGCACATGGTGGAGGGGGAGCACTCACTCTTGCAAGCTGGGCTCTGCCCCACAGGTGCGTAGTGGTGTGCCCACACAGGTACAAACACACTACACAGACAGACAGACAGACAGAGGTAACAAAAATTAAAAATAATGATCAGCCACACAGTATAGGCTACAAGGCCATAGAACAATAGGCAGAAAACTCCACAGGTCACAAAAGCAGATCACCAAGGACTCCGGGGTTACATTTGGGAAACTGAGGCAATACCACCAGTCCACCTTTGCCTGTTTCCTCCGGTTTCTATGTATGAACCAGCAGTGCCCATTCTCAGCTCCTGTCTTGTTCTTCATTGGCCAGATTTCTGATTTTCTTCTTTTTCCCAAGCTCTATAAGCACCTCTTTCCCTTGCACATTAAGAAGGAAACAAACAAACAAACAAACTCCTGCCATCTTGCTCCACCACTCTCCCAGCTGAAGTTCTTGCAAGCACAATCATTGGGACTTCCTGCAGTCCATTGTGCCCTCCCCAACCCTTCTAAAAAGGCCCTAACCCAGGCTGTAGAGGCACCAGGTCACCAAACCCAGTGAACTGTTACTTACTGGCTATTCCTGAGGCATTATACAGTGTGAGTCCCCTCCTTCCAGAAAGTCTCCTGACTCGATCTCAGGGGTACTGCTTCCTTCTGAGTTTTCTCTTACGTCTTTGGTCATTTCTTCCCAGGCTCTGTAAGTGTTTATTATAGATGGTATGGATGTCACCATCTTGGTTTCTTTCCCCGTCACCAGGATAAAATGCCCTGACGAACACAACTGAAGGGTTTATTTGGGCTCTCAGTTTGGGGGTGCAGTCATCATGACTTAGAAGTAATGGCAGCAAGAGCTTGAGGCAGCTTATCTCGTCACACCCACAGTCAGGAAACAGAGTGATGATGAACTCAGTTCATTTTCTCCAATTTGTACAGTCCAGGACCCGTTCATAGGGAATGGTCCTGCCCAGGGCTAAGTAGGTTTTCTTCCATCAGTTAACCTGGGAAAGACAATCCTTCAAAGGCATGCCCAGAACCCAGAACACCCCTCCCATTAATTGTCTCCTGCATGATCCCAGATCATATCAAGTTGATGTAACAGGGATCATCACATCCCCCAAGATTCACTTGGAAAGGCTTGTTCCCCTGCTTGGTGCTATTAGGAGGTGGAGTTTATTGAGGGGTCTTCAGGTCTTCCTGGAAAGAGATAATGGCACCTCCAATGTCTTCCTTTCTATCTTTTCCTTGAGTGAAGCAGGAGATTTTGCTCCGCCATAGGCCTTCATCAAGACATGCTTCACCATAGGCCCAAAGCCCTGGGACCAATTGTTCAAGGAACATCAACACTGTTAGACAAAATAAACTTGTTTTTATTAGCTGGTTCCCTCGGGCATCTGGTGTGGTGATGGAAAGCTGACTGGAAGTGCCTCTTCTGCCCACTCAGGACGCTGTTCTTAAGTCCCTGACCTCAGCACTTGGCTCGGTCTCCACAGGCACAGCCTCCATTCTCCCGGATAAAACAGCCATCTGTCTGGGGGAATGCATATCTGGGGACTGAGGAAAACTTTCCAGAGGGAACTGCAGCATTAACAGTTCTGAGAGGCCTGACGCTAGATCCTCCATTCCCAGCTGTATCTCTCTCTATAGTTGATTGACACTGTGTCTTCGAGGAAGGGATCTTCTTTAAGGAGCTATCACCTGCTGTCCTGAACCTGACTGTGGTACATTTCCCAAGGGTATAAAACTCCCTGGACTACCAACTTGCAAAATGCTGTAGCTGTTGAGAGAGAAATAACTACAACATGAATAATAAATATTCCTGTAAGTTAAAAGGGTGACAGTCCTATGTTTTCAATAACATTGAATAATGACCAGCCAATTGAATTGATCATTAAAAATAATTTCTGTTGGTCAAGGTAGTACACACCTTTTATCCCAGCACTTGGGACGCAGAGGCGAGCATATGTGAGTTTGAGACCAGTTTGGTCTACATAGTGAGTACCAGGCCAGTCAGGACCATGTAGAGACACTCTGTCTCAAACAATAGAAAAAGGAAGAGGAGGAGGAGGAAAAAGAGGAGGAGGAAGAGGAAGAAATATAAAATAAAATAAAAGTTTTAAATAATAGATAAATCTGTGGTGAGACATTTAATTCAGAAAGAGTTTAAGGAAGCCCAGAGTGTTGCACACCTATAATTCTAGTACTCTGTGAGAGCAGGAGGTCACAAGTTCGTGGCCGACCTGAGCCACATAACAAGACCTTGTCTAAAAAAACAACAATAAAAACACTATGAAAATAATCAAGAAAATTTACTCTGAATACTGTGTTATGTGGCTAGCAATAAATAACTTCTCTTCATAAATGCATCAACTAATAAAACACTAACCCACCAATTCCATCAAAGAATGAATTTTTATAATTCCAATAATTGACAAATGGGATAAAAAGCAACTAAAAGCTTCTACACAGCAAAGAAAATGGTCACCAGAGTGAGGAGGGAGCCTGCACAGTAGGAAAATGTTTATTTCTGAATGCCAGACCTGGCATTTATAGCTAGAATTTTCACTACCTGGGGGGCCAGCCTCCAGCAGCGCAGGGCTCCAAGGGAATCCACAGAGTCAGCGCTCACTGTGACTTTTTTTTTTTCATCTGGGGGAGTGAAGGGAAAGACTCACACACTCTCTTGATGGTTTCCTTCAGACCTTTTCTTTATTCTTCTTTTGCATTCTCTATTCTTTATTTTCCTGGTGATTTCCTTCTCTCATTCTTGATGTTTTCCTTCTAACTCTATTTAACTCTATCTTTGTTCTTTCCCTTACAACTTATATACCCCAACAAAATCTTTCAGGCAATATAAAAATTACAATGTGGTTACATTCTGTTTTTCAAGGGAGTGATTACAATGAATACAAATAAAAAAAAAACAGCATGTTTTCCATATCCCTTACATGATTAAACATTTTACATATTACAGGTGAAAAACAAGTTATCCCAAGAACCAGTGTACATTCATACCCAAGCAACTTGTTATAGATTAACAATGTGTAAGCAAGAAAGATATTCTTTTACTGGCAGGCTGCATTTTGTGGTTACAAAGAAAAGAACAATCACATTATTGCTTATCTTGAAAGGTAATTTTATGAGGAATCTTAAAGGAATCATAAGTATAAACTTTTATACATGAAAAAGAATCAGTCAGCTCTACTTTAAATCTCTAGAGTACATACCCACTCATCAATAGTTTTTATATCAGGAGGTTGAAGGCAAAAGTGAGTACAAGGAATTAATCATCATCTTTGATCACCAACCAATCCTAGCAAGGAAAGTATGTCAGTTAGTAATAATTGGGCTGCTTTGTATTTGATCCCTGGCCTTATTCATCCCGAGTTCCTCATTCAACTATGTGTCTTTCTAAAACTTTAGATTATCTTTTTGGGGTTTTCACCTCAAAGCTATTTGACAAAAACATCTTAGTCTAACTTTAAGTTATTTTCAAAGCTTTGTTTCAGCTGTGATGCACTTCGAAACCTGTGAACACATCTCTCAACATTAAGGTTAGAAGAATTTAAACTAGCTGGGCTACTGGGACTCAGTTGTTTTTCTTAATCATTAATCTAAGCTACAGTCTATATTGCTCTTCAATAGAAACTCGTGTGTTCTAGCTGTGTGACACTTCCTTGTTTTATTTTTTTATTATCAAAACTCTATTTAAACTAACATTATTATTATCAATTAGACAGTACAGCTTAGGGGAAAAATTATCTTTATGATAATCCACAGGTAAAGTGCCCAATAGAAAGGGATGTTTCCATGAGATAAACACACTAAATTACAGGCAGCAGGGATCTCCCCACACCCATTCACACCACACCAGAGACCAGAGAAAGTTGGCAATAGTAAACATGTGAAGGCACAGCAGAAGCAAAGGACATTCTGGAGTCTGTGGTCTCGGGGCCTTGCCTATCGGGCATCAGGGAGTTGCCTCTGGTGGGCTGACAACTGAACTTCAGTAGCATCTGCTGCTCCTCTGACATGGCCATCAGCATAGAGTACTAGAGTACACAAAGAACTGCAAAAACTAAACAAAAAATCCAAGTCATTTAGTTAGTTAGTGAGCCAATGAACTGAATAGATAGTTAAAAAACAAACAAACAAACAAGAAACCAAATGGACAATAAATAATGGAAGGTGTTCAATATCCTTAGCCAACAAGGAAATACAAATTAAAGCTGTTTTAAGATTCCATCTCAACCCTAATCAGAGTGACTATCACCAAGGAAACACATGGCCACAAATGCCGGTGAGGATGTGTGTTGGGGAAGGGACCACTTTTGCAAGGCTGTTGGGAATGTGAACCAGACAGGTCAACATACTACAAAGACATTTGCACATTTATGTTTATTACTGCATTGTTCCCAACAGCCAAGAAATGGAAGCAGCCTAGATGTCCTTAACACATGAACGGATAAAGAAAATGTGCCTCATACGCACGTGAATCATTTGAATTTTTACAGCCATGGAGAAAAATGAAATCATGACATTTGCAGAAAAATAGATGCATCTGGAAAAACATTGTGTTAAGCAAAGTAAGCCAGATTCAGAAAGACAAATCCCATGCTCCCCTCATACGTGGAGTTTGGATTTAAGAGTATATGTATGCATATATGCAAGTATATATTTGTGTGTATATGTGTGTGTAGGTCATGAAAGTAGAAAAGGACTCATAAGAGGAGAGCAGAGAATCTAGGGGAGTGGGGAATAGGTAATGGAGCACATTAATAAGAAAGTAGAAGAAGAAAGAACCATCTGGAAGGGGGAGGGACACAGGAAGAGGACAGTGGAGGAGGGGAGAATGAGAACCAAGTAGAGTGACATATGATGTCTGAAGACATCATGTTGAAACCCACTACTAAACCAACAAAAGTGAATCTGTGTCATATCAAAATAGAGCAATTGCCAGTACCAGCTTACCTTGATGCTTAATGATTGTTCGTTTAAAACTACATGCTATTTTAGTCAACTGCACACTAAAAATAATTTGAAGAATAACTCAATCGCTGCAAAGCCAATTAACACTCGGAGTCTTACAGGTCTCAAGAGAAAAGTCATTCATTTTGACCATCATATAGCCGTTCTTGTCCAGACAAGTATAAAAAGACACTCAAGAAAAATCTTTGAAGCATAAAATGCATTATTTTAGACTTACCTGAAAATATGTGTTCAAGAAGAAAGGGGAAGCTGTAAAGTTCCACCCTGTTCAAGAAGAGCTTGTTAGTGTGTTTTCAAAAGGATGACAGTGGGTGGCAGGTCACCCTGGCACGCAGTTTCTAGTGCAAGTTTTGAAACGAGCATGGTAACAATTTTCTTTAAAATGTTTAATATTTAAGATACACCAAAAATGACATCCTTTAAAAATATCCAAACTTACAAGAAATAATTTTAGGTATCAATTTAAATGTGTGAGGCTAAGTACTGTACAATGTCAATTGTGTGAAAATCTAGAACAGACGGCAAAAGCAAGCCAGAACAAGGCTGCCTCCCAGAGATGTGGGGGCACAGATGTCCTGGGAAGGAGCACACGGAAATTCTGTGACGGTGGTGATGCTCTGTGCCCTGTGCCCTAAAATGGTTTGGATATTTGCTGAGTGCTATCAAATGGCGCACCTAAAGTCTACCATCTAGAGGTTAATTTTATTAGGGAAAAAAAAAACATAAGCAAATGTTTGGGCTCTACTGTCTCTATGCTAGAGATTGGGGTGAAACACTTGGAATGCTGAATGAGTAAGAGATTGCCCAGGGGACAGCTGTGCAGATAGTAATGAAACCAAAACAGGATGTTTACTGGGGCACCTAGGTGGTGATGATATGGTGCTTGCCGCCCAATATTTTGACTTTGCTGTACATCTGAAAAATACTCACAATAAAATATTGCGGGGAATGGGCAAGAGGAAATATTTTTCCATAGTTATTTTTAGCGCATGTCTGAGACAAGTTAAAAATGATGATTGGGGAACTTTCACCTTAACCTTTCAGCACAAACCTCCCTCCAGTATCCCAATCATATTTCCCACCAGATCCAAAATTCAGCAGATTCAAAACTGAATTTATTGTCTCCCCTCTATCAAGTGGAACCATTTCAGCTCTCAGTAACAGGCACAGAGTTCAACACAAGCATGATTTTTTTCTTATGTAACAAGAGAGATGGAAGTAGGGATATGGTGTTGCTGGTCCCACAGTTTAGGAGGGTCTTAGCAGGCAGGTCTACAGTTTTCTTGGCCACCCCTCATAGTCCCAGTATGTTAGAGCTTCAGGCACCATGTCTGGGTTCAAGAGAGAAATGACAGCACTGATGACTGGTTTAAAGGCTAATGTTGTTGTGACATTTAATGTATCCTTTACTTGGATATAATGATGCATCTTAAATGTGTCATTAGCTAAGATGCTCTCAGCCACAATGACATGTGATACACACACATACTAAAAACCAGAGTAGAGCTGGAGAAATGGCTAGTGGTTAAGAGTGCTTGCTGCATGCCCTTCCACAGGACCTTCCTAGAACCCATGTCAGGTGACTCACAACCACCTGTAACTCCAGTTTTAGGGGATATGACACTTTTTTCTGGCCTCTGAAAATACCTGCACACACACACAGAGAGAGAGAAAGAGAGAGAGAGAGAGAGAGAGAGAGAGAGAGAGAGAGAGAGAGATCTAAAAAAATAAAACTAGACTTAAAAGTGGCCTTAGAATTGACTGCCTTGATGATGGAGTAATGCAGTCTACAATCTAGATATTTTTCTCAACATTCTGCTTTGCTGTCCTCACTGTTGGATGTGTCCTCATTCTGGAACCAAGAAGGATACAGCAACTTCAAGTGAAAGATCCATATGCAGCAATGGTAAGAAGACACCAACCAGCTCTCAGGAGCTACCACCCCATCCCATTAGCTGTAACACCTGCCAGTTTATTTTCTGAGCTACAAGGGAAGTGGGGTTGCCTTATGGAGGGGAGTGGTGACTCCCCTTATCTAAGCTAGTCCTGCCAAGCAGCCTAAAACCTAACTATGTTACGATTAATTTCAATCAAAAAATTTGATGAGATCTAGAATCACCTTGGAGACAAACCTCTAGGCATGCATGTGCAGGAGTAGCTAGATTAGGTTAGTTAAGGTGAGAAGACCTGCCCACTGTGGGTGGCACCATTCCCTGGGTCGAGATCCTGGGGTAAGTCCAAGCATTCGTAACTGTCTGCTTCTTGGCTGTGAATACAATGTAGCCCACTTGCCTCAAATTCCTGCTGCTGTGACTTCCACCACGATGGGCTGTACACTCGAACTGTGACTTAAAACGAGCCCTTTCTCTTCTTCCTTTGCTTTTATCAGGCTATTTTATCACAGCAACAGGAAAAGTTACTAGATATGGGCTGAGTGTATACTGCAGATCTAAAATGTTACATTAGGCATGCAATGAAACATTTCTAATAAATGCAATAGGCTTACAGGATGGAAGAACAATAGATTTATTATATACCATAATAGGAATTCTGTTCCCAGAGACGACCAAATATATAATCTCTAAATATTAAAGACATAAAAATTCAACAGTAAATTATAACGCAACAGTATAACATCACTGTTCCCTGTTGATTTACTGAATGCCTGCTGGGTACAGAGACTACTCACTAATTTAGTTCCTTTTTCATAGCAAAACAGAGGTGACAGATGTATGATTGAAACCAAGGCTTCTCCTCTGCATACCTAATGACTTCTATCTTTGTCTCTAGTTCACTGTTACTACCAGAATCAGCACTCTCATTTTTCTTCTCATTTTCATAATAAAATTCACTAGATATTCAAAGATGGCGATATAGGCTGAGACAGTAACGTGGTAGAGCCTGAATGAATGGTTGGTGCTATCCTAGCTCCTACCTCGTATACCTCAAGCCCCTCACTGATTTGGGCACTTTACATGTATCAACTCCTTAACCTTCACAACAATTGAAGCAGATACTACAATCTCCATACTGAGATGGGAAAGAGAGGCCCAGGGATAACGGGACAGTGTGGCACATCAGTGAACTACATGCCCGCTGTGATTTGCTCTGATGACCTCCTAACTCCCCTCGCCTTGGCTATCTCTTGGACTCCTCCTGCTCCTAGGCTTGATTGTGCTTCCTCCCCTCTCTCCCCCACCTTCCTCCCCCTCCCCCACCTCCTGCTTTCTCTGCTGGGACTCTTTACAAGTCAGGATCAGTCTCACTCTTCCTAGGAAAGTCTTTCTTAGTCAAGGCAGGGACCAGGCTCTTACCCAGCACCTAGCCCACCCACCTCGCTCAGATGATTTGCTTACAGATCTGTGCCCTCCAGGAAAGATGTGATAGCAAGCCTGGCATTCTTCTGGTGTCTCTGGGGCTTGCTACTATGCCCGGCCTATAATTGGCACTTAGAGTGTTGCTAAATTAATGCACAAGCTCCCTGATTTTACACTTCCCTGTCTCCCCCGTGCTGTCTGACACCACATATTGTAGACACTTAGTCAACTGGAGTGGGTGCCGCTGGATTCTTCACCAGTAGCCTAACTTAATAAAAACAAAGCAAAACAGAACCTATCCCTTCCTCCCCATCTACACATCTCAATGTAGATCCTGAGAATCTGGAGTCCTTTCAAGGCCCCCAGTCTGTCAAACCCAGCAGGATGTGGGAAGTCTGACTCCCCTTCGCTGACCAGGCGGGCTGGGCTGGGCCGAGCGGAGAGTAGTGTCAGGGCTCCGGGCCGCCGCCTGGTGCGCCTTCTCCCAGTTCTTGCCTATTAAGGTAAGAGTCCTCTAGGAACGCAGCGTCGGGAGGGAGGGTCCCCAGCAGCGGCCTCCGGGGCCTGGGAGCTTGGAGGACTCTGATTAACCGCAGCCCTGGACCCTCTGCCTGGCGCCTGGCCACTGGGTCTACCGGCTTCAGGTTCTACTTAGCTTTACCACCTGAAGCCACCTTCCTATGTTTCCATAGCCACCGAAAATAACTTCAGCCATTACCGCGGGCCCCAAAGGAGTCTGGGCACCCGGCGCTGACTAAATGGACCCCGTGTCCCGGGTGGGCGCTGCTCGCGCACAGATGCACAGATGCTCGGATAGCTACCAGAACCCGCGCCCTTCTGCGCGGGGGAAGGTGGTACCACCTCCGAGGGGCTGGAGCTGGTGCGCGGGACCCAGACCTCCACCCTAGGGCTCCCCATCCCAGGCCAGCTGGCCGCTCGCGTCCGGGGTTCCCGCCCGCAAGCCACGCCCACAGGTCACGCCCCTCCCAACCCGCCCCGCCCCTCCCGCCGGCGCCCGCCGCTCCCGGGGCTCGGCGCGGGCCTGGGGAATCGGGAGCCCGCTGCCGGGGTCGCAGTATGGGGCGCTTTCGCGGGGGTCTGCGGTGCATCAAGTATCTGCTGCTCGGCTTCAACCTGCTGTTCTGGGTGAGACCCGAACCGGCGGGCCAGCTAGGGGGCCGGGGTCCCCAGGGAGGTGACCGCAATAGAGTTGGGCCCTGGGGGAAGGCAGGGTGTTCTAGAGGCGCTAAGCAGACAAAGAGGGAGGGGACGCGTGGAGGGGGAAAGGGCAGAGAGAAGCTTGAGCCACCAGGGCCGGTGAGAAGAGAAGACACGGTGCCGTGCTTCCCCGAGAGGAGCCATCATCCTCGGTGGCATCGCCCGGCGGGTGGTGCCAGGTGCGGGGGACCCAGCTGGCCCCCACATTCCGAGGACTGGGGCCCCCGGCGGCCGGCGTTCCCTGCAGCCTGCTGTGCATACACACACCCCCTTCGCGCGCTGCCATCTCGGGGGAGCCCGGCAGCCGGGCCTGGGCGCTGGGAGGGAAAGCCCTACCCTGCGGCTGCCTGGGGTGGCGCCCCATCCCAGGAGTGTGCGGACACACCGCCTGGCTAGGGTGGTTTGCTGGGAAAATACGAACAGGAGCGAAAATTAAGGGAGTGGGGGAGGGTCGTCCTTCTCTTGGGCATTAGGGGAGGGTACTGCTGGGTGGGCAGTGGTGGGTGCTGTTGTATGAGGGGTTGGAGAATGGAGGGGTTTGGGAAGGGCAGCAGCCTCCCCCAGGCTCCCTGCCTACCACCAGTACTTCTGAAATGATCTCATTCAACTTTGCAGGGTGGCGTAGACCTGGCAACATTCCCCAGTTAGAGATGCACCGAGGCAGCCAGAGAAAGGGCCCTGACCCCAGTCTTCTGTGTTAGCAGGGCATGGTTAGGGGTGGGCCATCCC